GAGTTCCACGCGTTTGTGTCTTATAGCCAGCACGATGTTGACTGGGTGCGCAATTCCCTTCTTCCCAACCTCGAAGGCCCCGCAGGAGGGCTTAGAATCTGTCATCACGAGAAAGATTTTGTGCCGGGAAAGACGATCATTGAGAACATCATCAGCTGTGTGGAGAAATGCAGGCGCTCTGTGTTTGTCCTCTCTGCTCACTTTGTCAAGAGCGAGTGGTGTCATTACGAGCTCTACTTCGCCACCCACCAACGTCTCACTCTGGGCTCAGACAGCATTGTGCTGGTACTGCTTGAGCCTCTGCCTCAATACCTAATCCCATCCAAGTACTACCAGCTGAAGTCCATGATGAACCGCCACACATATCTGGAGTGGCCTCAAGACAGGGCAAAACAAAGGTTATTCTGGGCTAACCTCAGAGCTGCCCTACAGACTGACCTGCCCAATGCTCCAGTCACACAAGTACAGGAGCATTGGGCAGAGGAAAGACTTGAAGAGAGACAGGGGTTAATGGGGTAAAAAGGGGCTTCAAAAGTATTTGGATACACTGGAAATACATCGTAGCTACCCTGAATCTTTAAAGACATGGTCACCTAATACCCTATCTATTCCATCTATTCCTCTTATCCAATTCAGGTTTACCCTATATCCCAGCTGAAATAGGGTGAGATGCTGGGTACAAGTCACTAGCCTGTCACAGGACTAACACATAGAGATAGACAATCATTCATACTCACAAACACAATTTAGATTCACCATTTAACACCAATAACTGCTTGACTTTGGACTGTGAGAGGAAGCTGGAATACCCAGAGAGAACCTATGCAGACACAGGTAGAAAAAGTCACCACACAGGAAGGCCCCAGTTAGATGGTTGATTTGAACCCAGAACCTTTCTGTGAGGCAACAGTGTTCACCACCATGCCACTCTTCTAGGTAGCATGAATTAAAAGAAGAAATAATAATATAAAAAATATAAAAAATTATAGTTTTTTTTTTTCTAGTCAATGAAGCTCTGACATGATATACATAAATTATGAAATGTTGATTGATTGATTTACTATTTTATTAGCAGCAAGTTGTCTGCCAATTGGAAAGCTGGTGGTTCGATGCTTGGCTGTCAAATTGTGCTTGTTTGGATTCAACAAATCATTGCCAATAAATCATGCCAAAGTATCATTCTGCAAGATACTGAACTGCAATGCATTCACTGGAGTGTGAGTGAATGTTAGATTATATGGATGCCTGCATGTGTTGTACTAAGTGCTTTGAGTGCTCAAGCAGAGTAGAAAATTGCTACATTAAAAACGGTTTATTTAAATACTGGTACGTTGTAACTGATATCATTTTTTAAATAATGCACTCAGTATATTATTCTCTAGAATGTTCTTTATTAGTAAATATATGTTACACAATGAGAAGGAATTCAGCTGGATCTAATGAGGTTAGGACATAAGTTGAGTCTGTATATATTGTATATGTTGATAAAATCATCTGTTGATTTGTGCTAATTTGGATTCAACAAATCAGTATCGACATTGCCAAAGATAAACATTATTTTTGTGGGTGTTTTTGGTAAAATTTTATTCCAGGTCTTTCTTCCAACTATTAAATGCAACTATACTAGAGCCTGTTGTTCTACAAATTACAATAAGCTTTTTCTTTTTTCATATAAAAATTTCAGTTGTGACACATTTCAAATGATATAGCTATTGTATTAAAATATGTGCAAAGTGACTGGGGTAATGTTTGATGTTGTGAAAGTTGGCCTACAGGCTTCTGTTGTTATTAAAGTGTAAAACTGTGAAGTATTGAAAATTTATCTTGTGTGATGGTGCTATTAAACTGGTCGTCCAGGGAGTAATAAAAACAGATTTTAATGTTGAAGAAAGAGTTATTATCAGGGTCAGTGTCATTTTGCAGTTCCTGCTGTGCAGTGAATTTGAAACTAATCAGTTCCAGACCATGTGTGTGAAATATCAGCTGCCATGGAAGAGTCATGAAGAATCATGCATCTTCTGACAAAAAAA